GTGGGTTGGCTGGCAGGGATGTGGCGGGTCCGGCCACACTCCCCCTGTGCTCAGCCAGCTGCAGGAAGGTGGGGGAGAGGCAAATTGTTCTTTATCTTTGTGCTGCACCTTTTTGAGCAAATTAAAAGGGCTTTGGCGTGTTGGCGAACTCTTACTGCACGGCTGTAATGAGCGATTTCTCGGTTCTGGCTGGCTCTCCCTCGGCTGAACCTTTTCAAATTAGCTGGAAATGAGAAGCTGGAGAGCAGGAGTGAGAGAGAGCAGAGGGGTCGCCGGGCCCTTCCTCCTGGGAAGAGCTCTGCTAATGAAGCTTTGCTGGGAGGCTTTCATAAAAACGAGTCAAAACCACAACTATGCCTGAGCACTGGAGTTGGAGGGTATAAAATCCCCCTTGGGGGCTGGGGGCTGTGTTGGGGTGCGCGGGGTGGGTGGGTGACTCCTCGTGGTCCTGGCCCAGAGCATGGTGGCAATGTGGGTTCAAAGCCAATCCCATTAACTGCAAGAAGAGGGCAAAACCAGTCATGTTGGCTCTGTAATGAGTTGTTTTCCTTCTTGCTTTCACCAAAGCCTACCATTTCTGCATACAAAAAGAATAGAAATTATCATTAAAGCTGAATTATGTTGGCATTTAAAAGGAAGGGTAAAATTTATGGGCAGAGATGCTATTACAAAATACTTCCCGGATAGGTAATTGTGTAATTATTATGGGCAGAAATGAAAGTGATGGTTCATTAAAAGAAAATGACCATGAAATAACAATAAATAAGCCAAATTAAAGCCATGGTAATTGCATGGCCCGTCCTGCCATGTGCTGTGGGTGCAGGGGTACGAGGTTCCCAGCTACGGCTCCCCGATGGAGCAGACCATGAGGGATGAGCAGCGCTGTCACTGTCGTGCTGGGTTGTGCCCGCAGGTGCCTCCCCCAGCAGCACACTGCTCCGCTCCCCGCAGCCCTGCACGCTTTGGGATGGCACGCTGCAGAGGCGCAGCTTCCCCGTCCTCTGCGCAGCCTGGCTCCCGTTCGTTGCAGCGATAAAAGCCTGTTCATGGTGACCCGGTGGCTCGGTGCCCGGCTCTGTGCTCGCTCCTCCGGTGCTCATTAAACGGGACCTGCAGGGATCGCCCCCGCTTGGGTCACGGAACGGCGTCTCTCCAGCCCCACTGGGCTAATTGGCACTGTGCTTGTGTGGGCCATTATCCAGCGAGAGTCATTGATTCGCGATGCTAACTAGCTTCTAAACCTGGATCCCAGAGGTGATAAGCCAACACATTAGTTTTCTTTCTTCCTTAATATTTTAATGGCACAGGGAAGGAGCAGCCTGGATTTCTGATGAGCACGGTGACATTTCTGTGTCGCCGTGGGGTGGAGATGCTGTCCTCATCCTCCCTCCAGTCGGGGGATGGTGTGTGATGGTGGGATGGGAGCGCTGGTGTTAGCTGGGGTCAGAGGCAGTGATGCTCTGTTTGAAGCCAGAGGCAGCAGGATGCACCGTCCCCTCTTGCAGCAAAGCGTGCGTCTCATTAGCAGCTGCAATTAAGTAATGTGCTCATTCATTTCCATAAAGCTCTTCACTTGGCCGTGGCAAGAGGCTATTCGTTTTGCAGGGTGGGGTGATGGGTGTGAGGGCTGGTGGGAGCAAGAACTCAGCTGCAGGAGCTCTGGAGGGGGGCAGGAGGTGGGCTGGGGGCTCCGGCACAGCCCCGCATGACAGCGGCCGTCTATTCTCCCGCAGTGCACGTAGAGCCCGGCACGTGTGAAGTCATCGCAGCTCACCGGTGCTGCAATAAGAACAAGATCGAGGAGCGCTCCCAGACGGTGAAATGCTCCTGCTTCCCGGGGCAGGTGGCAGGGACGACGCGGGCGGCCCCCTCCTGCGTGGACGGTGAGTACCCCCCAGCTGGGGTCCCGTGCAGCCCCCCGATGGCATCCTCCCAGATCCCTGGGGGGTTCTGTGCCCCTGGGACTGGCAGAGACCTGCCAAGGGGCTCCTGCAGCAGAGCAGAGGGGGAGCGGGAGCGTTCTGGGGAGGCCGCTGACGCCCCGCTGTCCCCAGCCTCCATCGTGCTGCAGAAGTGGTGGTGCCAGATGGAGCCGTGCCTGGCCGGGGAGGAGTGCCGGGTGCTGCCCGACCTCTCGGGATGGAGCTGCAGCAGCGGCAACAAAGTGAAGACAACCAAGGTACGTCCCCTGGCAGGGTGCTGGGGGTGCTGGCTGGTGGATAACTCCCACAGGAGGCTCGGTCAGGAGGGCACAGCGTGGCCCAGCCTGCAAGCTGATGTGCTGGGGACGGCTCCATACAAGCCCAGGGCTGTGCTGCCATCCCGGCTGCTCCCCAGCATCTCCCCGCTGCCCTGGGGCAGGAGGTTCTTCATCCCAGCCCCGAATCCGTCACCTCTCCCTTGTCTGAGGCAATCAGCTGTGACAGAGCGCTTCATGACTGTTATTTTCATGGCTTGCTGAATGCCCCAAAGAACAAGGTATAATTAAAATTTTATCAAACTCATTAGTAATTACATACATGCCACGGTTAATCAGTTGCATAATTTTGTAATCATTGTTCATACTGCTGAGTGGGATCATTCCTTATGCTTTAGCTTTTCTCACCCCACATCCCCTGCCATAAAATTGTTGTCTTAAGTGATGCTGGGAATTTGTTCTTGTTGTTGTTATTATTTTTGTGCACAGAAAGTATTTTCATGCTCCAGTGTTTTTATGGATGTCCAGGAAGGTTCCTCAGGCCCTGGGCATCCATCATTGACCAGTAACGGCAGCGCTGTGTTCAGCTCATTGTCTTTTTCCCATCTTAATGTAGTTTATTCTCCCCTCAGCTGCTGACTCAGCACAAAGCCTCTGCTTGGGCTTTGCTGTCCCGGGCTCTCGCTGGGGACCGACCCCATCTGCAGGAGCCCTTGTCCAGCAGCCCTGACCCCCACGGCCATCCTCCCAGCACCCCTCTTGGGTCCCTTGCCCTCCCCTGGGGAAATGGCATTTTGGAAACGCAGACTCCTCTCCTCTGCCCGCAGGTCACACGGTAGCCCCCGTGCAGTGGGGGCTGGCCCCGGCGCGGGTCCCTGGGGCTCTGCAGAGCCGGGAGCAGCAGGACGTGGCCACGCCGGCCAGGGCAGGATGCTCTGGTGCTTCCGTCCTGCGTCCGCTGGTGGGAGTGTGCCACGCACCGGATCAGAGCATCTGCTGACCCCCCGAGGCCGCAAGTGTGGGACCCCAGCACAGCTGCAAGACTCCTGTCACCCCACAGTCCCCTCCTTCCCCATGGACACGCTCACCGACCGAGAAATGGGCTCGTTTTTCCATCCTCTTAAATATAATACTCCCATCGTGTAAGAGCTGTTGACAATACAGAGCCAGCCAGGCAGCGGTCCCCCGGAACGGGCTTTATTCTGACACAGCTGCAATCATTGCTGCGAGCCGCCTCTCCCCATCTCCACCATACCGAATCAGGGTCACCAGCAGGAACTGGGAAGTCAGTGGTTGTGTGAAACCCTCCCGCGTCTGGCTCACAGCTCCTGGACCCTGCGCTCCCAGGAGCAGGTCCCCTCGTGTCACCTGGGGACAGGGGGCTGCTGCGATGGCACGTGGCGGAGGCAGTGGCATGGCCATGGCTGTCCGACACCCCGGCAGCCCCCGGAGATAGTGAAATGTCTCCACGGAGTGTGCTGCTCCCTTCTCCTTCCTCGATAACTGCATTAATCAGGCTGCGAGTTCAGTATCTGCTCTCTGCTGTGCAAGTCCCTGGCACCAAGTTACCGCTTGTATTTGCAATCCAATTTCAGAATAGCGTGCGGGGGAAGCCCCCGGGTCTGGTGAGCCTGACACCACGCAGATGCCCAGCCAGAGACCCCGACTGAGCCAGGCTTCATTGCGTAAATTACGAATAAAGAAAAATGTTCCATCTCCTGGCCCTGAGCTCATGACCTTCTCCAGGTCACACCATTTCCTCGAGGGAGAGAGGCCGGGGACACCGTGCTCCTGCCATCGGTGGGGCTGGGAACCCCGGGGCTGCGGCACAGCCTGGGCAAGAGCATCGCAGCGGGGAGCACTCAGGAGGGGCTGGACACTGCGGGGGGGGACACAGCTTGGTGCTGCTGGGGACGCTGGGATGAGATGTTTTTCTAATGGGGTACGTAACACCCGCTCCAGATGTGATGTAAATAGCAGACTGTGAAATAATAAATTCATTTTAATCTCTGCAAAAGGATCTTTTAATTTGGCAGGGAAGGGAGGCTTTGGGAACGCTCCTCTGGCCGACCGGTTCTGAGGTGGAGGGGCTGGGGGCTCTGCCCTGGCCGTTCTCGTCCCAGCTGGCTCCTGCAATGGCAGACACCCCCTTGCTCATGCAACTGCCGAATTCTGGGGCTGGGGCTGGGCTGAGCTGCAAAGGGCTGGCCTGCGCTGCATAAACCAGCATTTCCCTCCTGCTTCTTTGGAATGGTGCTGCCCCAGGAGGAGGTGCTGCTGCAGGACCAGGTACTGCTCCAGGACCAGGTACTGCTCTTATCTCACTGTTGTCTGTGCAGAGGCTGGGCTGGCCCCACCAAGAGCTGTCAAACGCAGAGTGGAGCTCCGTTATTTCTAATGACAAACGCTGGCTGCTGCTGGGAGCATCCCTGCTTGGCTAAACATATTTGTAGTCAGCTCATGACGGGAAGGACCCACTCTGCAGAAGAGTTGAGCTTGACACCTGCACTGATCTAAAACCATCTTATTGCCTGCATAATAGCCACCTTTAGCGCTTATTGTTCACTTGCTGCGATACAGGGTTTAGTGAGGAAATAGCCCCTCAGTGTCTGCTGGGTGCTGACCTCGCCTGTTGTGTGCTGCCATCACGGTGAATGTACAAAAACGGCAAATCACCGCTCCCCTGGCAGGTAAACGCCTGTCAGAGGCCAGCGCTGCAGCCGGCGGTGCTGCTGGTTTACCTCCGGTCTCTCGGGGGGAGCTGGGGAAGGATGCTCCTGGCACTGCTCCTGGCACCGCTCCCTCACGCTCTCCTGGACTGTCAACACTTTCCTTTGGCCCAGCAGGGAGAATGTTTCTAGCAGGAGTGTTAAGCCAAGGAAGAGGGTGACAGAGATGGAACCTCTGCGTGGGACCATGCTGCTGGTCCCTGGGGGGCAGAGCAGCCCCAGGAGCCTGACCCAGGAGCAGCACCGTGCCCGAGTGCCCCTAAGCTCGGTCCTGGCACATCAGTGCAGTAACCGGTGGGGAGCTCCCACAGCCAAGCCTTGCAAGTTGCCCAAGGGGAGATTAGTCAGAGGAAACTGTCACAGTTAAGGTACTTCCAATATCATCTCCCTGGTATTATAATTACACCCCACTCAATTAGTCCCCAGGAAAAAAAAAAAAAAGCCTTTTGTATTAAGGCTTGGTGGAGAATTATTAGGGAGTGAATTAAAAGACAAGGATTCCATTTTACTTCACAATAATAAAGGCATAATGTATAAAATACCCCCAAATTACAAGCTGACTAAATTTAGACCTGTACTAGGAGGTGAAATGAAAGGTAAAATGAAACTCTTTGAGCAGCTACGATGTGCAGTACAAGGCGGGTATTATCTGGGAAATAAGATGGAAACATAATTAACCACCCGGTATTATGCTGAAGGATGGCAAATTGAAATGGGAGACAAAATTAGGTGAAATTGCAAAGCAGAGTCATTTATTTCTGCTCTATACCTCAGTGCTACCTGTCAGCAGGGATGCAAAGCCGTGCTGGAGCAGGAGCTCCCAGGAGGATGCCGCTGGGGGGACCTCACCGTGTCCAAGCCGGGACAGCCGTGCGCACACCGGCACCGAGCTGTGGGTCGCCTGGAAGCAGCTGGTGGTTGCGCACGTGGTTCGGTGTTTTTCTAGTTTGCTGATACCTTTCACTAGGAAACTCGATGGGTTTTTTTCTCTGGCATGCTCGTGAGCAGATAGATCCTGTTTGAGCGAGGGGGCTGCGGGGTGCGAAGCGAAGGGCTCCGAGAGTTTGCTGGGGTTAACAAGCTGTGATGGGGCTGTTTGGAGCATTAGGCGGCTCTTCCAAAAACGTGTCCTCATGATTTATTGAAATGTGCATTTGTGGAGATGTTCTTAAGGGGTAAGGGGAGGGATAAAATATTCATCGGGATGTTGCTGTGCGATGAAAGCAGAGTCAGGGCGCAGAGCACGCTGCTGGGGGTCACCGGCAGAGCTGTCCCTGCTGTGGGCAGCCCGGCTCCCGCTGTGCCCCGGGAGGGTCCCTGGGGACAGTGGCCATCCTGCTCGGGAGACCCCAGCCATGGCCGGTGGCTCTGGCACAGCCCCCCCTGCAGAGCCCCCCCAGCTGAACAGGGCTCCTGCCCCTTTTCTTTGCATCATCTTCTGCCCAGAGCTTGTCCCCCTGTCCCACATTGCGGCAGGTGACATGGGACAGCCCGGAGACTGCCGCTGGGGGGGCACCACACTGCACAGCAGTGCCCGTGCCCCCCTCGCTGCAGGTGAAGCCCCCTCCCTGACCCCCCAGGCTGGCAGGGGAAGGCAGGAGCCCTGAGCCCCAGCTGTTGCCATCACTGCCATCAGCGTGGCAGCACTTGTCCTTGTCCCCATCTCCTCTCCCGGCATGGCTCTGTCCCCAGATGTGGATCCTGCATGTTTGGAAAAGCTGGATGCTGTCCCCTCCCCAGGGGAAAGGCGCACGGAGATGGGGGCTGCAAGGGCATGGGGTTGTTCTGGGCATGGTCTGCATACTGACTGCGTCAGGGATTAACGCAGAATCTCAATTTTATCGAGTGATTTCCAGCCTTGATTTCCTGCTGGGGAGGGCTGCAGTGGCCAGAGCAGGAACGGAGCCGTTGGCCAGGGCACAGCAGCGAGGGAGGAGCAGCGAGGGAGGACGCAATTTAATTTGTGCATTTCCCAGCTTGTTGTTAATCTCACGATTTACTGCTGGTATTTGATTTCTGTGGCATTGCTTCATAACAAAGGGATTAGCTGGGAGCATAGGTCTTCTCTTTGATGCTCATCTGCTGGGGATTACCGAGAAATTCTGTAGTTAGGTAATGGGTCAAATAGGTAAAAAAAGAAAATATGTGTATGATTTTGTTGACATTTGCAGGAACATTCAGTCTATGATCTAGCACTTGCTCTCCCGACCCGCTCAGCATCCCTGCTGCTGTCTCCCTGGGGTGCCAATCCCCTGCCGTCGGGGTCAGAGCCCTGGAGCCGTAAAGCAGGAGCTGCTCTCCGGAGAGGCTCTGCTGTGCTGCTGCTCCGCAGCCCTTGTACCCGCGGGGACCAAAGCCACTGAGAGATGCTCTGGGGAGATGGAACCTGTGCTGGGCACGGGAGGAATCAGCCCCTAGGGCAGCTCCTGTGTTGGGGGGACAGGCTCCAATGGAGTGCGGGAGTGGGTTCAACACGGGAGCAGCTTCAGCACGGTCCAGCAGCCGGACCGATGGGCACAGCGGTGGGCAGGCAGCGGGGGGCAGGCAGCGGTGGGCAGGCAGTGATGCCTCCAGCCGGCTGCACGCTCAGCACGGTCAGGAGATGCCTTGGCTGGCATGTAAATCCCCGCGGAGCGTGGTTTGAATTTTTTCTGTGCCCATCGGTGGCGACAGAGGTTAATACAATATTAGCAGTGGACTCGAATATGAATCAGTCAGACGTCCCTAATAAACGCCTCCTAACAGAAAGCACAGACAAATTAGCCCATGCTCCACTGCCTTCTAACGATGTGTTTTCCTCTGGTCCCAGCCTCCCCACACGTGTTGGGTCCCAGGGAGCAGGACTGGCCACCTCCCTCGCCGTCCCCTTCTCCACCTCCCCTGCTCAGTGCCCCCAGCCCAGCCTGCTCTTCTGAGCCCCCAGCACAGAGGTGCTGCGAGTGGAGAGATGCAGAATCGATCTATTGGTAACCTGATACACTGCATGGAGCCGGGATCCAGTAACAATCCAATTAACTGCTTGTGGATGCATTCATATTGGTGAGCCCTAAGTCAATCAAATATTTAAATACACCGGGAATCGTGTCCTGTGATTATTAAAGGGGCTGAAATCAGGCTGCGTTAATAACAATAATAAATATTGTGGATATGCAGTTCTTTAAGAAAATTATTCCACAAGTTGTGAGCTGTGTGCAGGAGCTGCAGGGCTGGGAGGATATGAATATGGATCAGCGGGAATATTACATGTACCCGCACCAAGGGACAAAATTAAAGAGTGTTTAAAATTCCCTGCAAAGACAAAATGTAGAATATGAAAACTTTTGCAATCATTTATAATAATGAAATTTTGATTAGAAAGCCAGGATCATGCATAAGTTATTGCATTAGCCCTGCAGGCCAAACAGCGTGGAGAAGGGGTGGAACGGGTGGAAACGCTTCGGCTTTGCAGCAGCAGGCACGGGGGTGCCCGTGCTGGCAGCGGGATGGGCGAAGGGGCCGAGCAGCGTGTGCTGATGGGGGTTGGATGTGCAAAACGAACGGACTTGGCAGAGGAGGCAGCGGCTCCCCCGGGCAGGGGTGTCTTTCTGAAACATCCTCCGGCGAGCGCGCGGTTGTGGCTCGGTCCTGTGCGTACCGTGCGGTGGAGGGGTATCTTTCTTCTGTGCTTCCTGCCCTTACATAGTGGGGAAACAGTCTGTAAATTATTTAAGCAGGCAGAAGATAATTAACTCTAATCAATCTGGATTCTGCCCAGGTTATAGATCCGCAACAGCATTAATCTTACTAATTACTTAATATTACTAACACTGGTTTCAATGAGTTCAACAGTGCCTTCAGCGAATCCAGCAGTGAGTAACAGACGGAATGTGATTGATTCTGAGTTGAAAAGCCCTTCGGTGCTGCAAGTCTGACCGTTTTATTAATCAAATTATCAGTCTTGGGGCATTCAAGAAGTAGCAGGTCAGTCTCGCAGGGAAATTTTTCATTACACTGGTGGGTTATTCTTTCAAGAGCATTAGGAAGAATTTAGACCAAATTAACAGTATGTCTGACAAACAGTTATTTAGATTACAGGGTGAGCACTGGGGTTAAATCCTGGTTTTGACTGATGGAATTGGAGCTTGTGTCCAGCTCTGTGGTGATCCACCCCACCGAGGGTCTGGGCAGGATCTGTCTGGCTGTCTGGTGGGAAACGCCAGCCCCCAGCGATGCTTCCCAGCCCCGTGGCGGTGCCTCTGCCGCGTGCAGCTCCCTGTGTCTGCCGGGCAAAACGTCGGTCCTGTGCGCTTGGGACTGGCTGATGAAAGAACTTTTCTTAGAGGACGTCTGCACACTCCGACTCTGAGAGCTCCCTCCCATCTTTCCCTTCCCTCTGCCACCCCTGGCTGGAGGAGGAGGATTTTTTCTGGGATAGCCGAGGCTGGAGCCAGCTTGTCAGTGAGCTGAAGCCCCGCAGAAGCAGCTCTCAGGATTCAGTCCTGTGCCGTGCGCTCATTCACCTGGAGTTTGTTCAATTTCCAAATTGTTGTAAAGTGCTCACACTAAAGGATTTGTACTTGCTGTGTCAGTCTGAAACCTGAAGGAAAATACATTTTTATTCTTTCTACTTGGGTGCTTTGTCTTTTTTTTTTTTTCTTTGTGAAAGCCGTACAATAAACAGATTATTTGATAGCTGAGCCCTTTTCCTCATGTGTTCCCTCTGTAAGTCTGTTCTTTCTGAGCTAGGGGCCCATCCCTTCATGGAATTTTCTTTGCTGGTCAGCACTGGGTTTTGATTCTCTGGAGGATCCAGAGATCTCTGCATCCTCAATTCTCTGAGAGGATCACTGGCCATGTTCAATGTTGATGCTGGGCTCGGGGGCGAGTGAAGAAAAGAATCCAGACCGTTTGGTAGGGATAGATGAGCAGATCCCAGTCTTGGTGTGGTGGCATCGTGGCAGAGCATCGGTGGCTT